AACTAGTTTATCTATCACCTCAAACATTTATCATTTCTTTGTGTTGGGAACATTCAAAATCCTCTCTACTAGCTATTTTGAAATATACAATTAAATGGGCTGGAGGGCATGGCTCAAGTGGTAGAGTGCACAAAGCCCAGAGTTCAAACTCTAGTACCATCAAGAAAAAAAAAAAAAAAAACTGGCAGAGTGGCTTAAGCGGTAAGAGTGCTGCCTAGCAAGCATGAGCCCTTGAGTTCAAACCCCAGTGCTGCCAAAAAAAAAAAAAAAAAAAAAAAAAGAACTATACAATTAAATGCTGTCAGCTATGGTCGTCCTACTGTGCTAACAACAGAAGATATTCCTTCTAGCCAACTGCAACCCTATACCCGTTAACCATCCTCTCTCCATCACCTATGCCCCAGCACTTTTTCCAGAATTTAGTAACCATTATTCTACCCTGCTTCTGAGATCAACATTTTTTTAGCTTCCACATAAAGTGAAAACATGTATAATTTGATTTTCTATGCCTGGTTTGTTTCACTCAACATAATATCCTCCAGTTCCATCCATGCTATAGGAAATTATAGGATTTTATCCTTTTTATGGCCAAATAATATTTCACTATATATATAAACCACCCTTTCTTTATCATTATTATCATATCATTATTATCATATGAATATCATTCTTATTCATTGATGGACACCTACGTTGATTCCATATCTTAGCTATCATGAACAGTACAGAAATAAACATGGATATGCAGATGTCTCTTTAACATGCTGATTTCCTTTCCATTGTGTATATACCCAGTAGTGGGATTGCTGGATCATATGATAGTTCTATTTTTAATTTTTTTGAGGAACCTCCATACTTATTTCCATAATGGCCATACTAAAATTCCCACCAACAGCATATGAAAGGTACCTCTTCATTTTAATTGAATACTTAGTACAGGGAAGAAATGGATTTTTTTCCATGGAGCTGAAGTTTCAGGGTCTTCACTCTTATGCAGGACCCTTCTAAGACCCTAGCAATGGATTCACAAGGTCATTTGTTTTTATAAAATTTGAAAAAGTAAGATATTTTATTGAGTTGTTTAGGCTGCTACCTATTTCCTTCATACTTCCCCTTGTGTTGGATGTCACAGGAATGGCCACAGGAATCTTGGAGACACAGCTAAGGGGAAGTTGGGCTAGAAATACACTCCATTTTGGATCTATTCATATGATTTACAGTCACTTCCATGCATAGTTTTTACCCATTGCCCAGATGCAGACTACCTTCCAGGAGTACTCTTATCCACCCATCCTGTGACTTACCTGGTGTTGTAACCCGTATGTACACAGCCAAAGGTCAAAGTAGGGTATAAACGTGTTTTATGGCATCTAGCACCGGAAGTATGTGGGAGTAGAGGAGAATCAAGGTTTTGAAAACACATGAAGCCAAAAGCTGGTCTGAAAAAAATTCCTCCAATCATTAGCCATGGAAAATATGAGCAGAAGATTCCATCCCATACTGACACCAATCAAAACAAGTTTGTCCTACAGGCACTGTACTCAATAACACAGCTAGTACAATTATAAATGTACCAGGTATTTTTGTTTTGTTTTTGAGGTACTAGGGCTCAAACCCAGGACCTTGTGCATGCTAGGCAAGTGCTCTACCACTGAGCCACATTCCAGCTGTGGTGTTTTGAAACAGGGTCTCACTATGTAGCTCACGCTATCTGGTATTTACCTTGTAGCCCAGGTTGGCCTTGATCTCATGATCCTCCCGCCTCCACCTCCCATGTGCTGGGATTATAGGTATGCCACCACATCTGGCTTATTCTTTTTTCTTTTTTTGATGGAAACTGTACACAATACAATTTATCAGAATCCTGTGTTTACATTTTTGATGATATGGTACAGATTACTGATATCAATGCATATAATAAAAAACTTATTTCATAATGAGATTTTCAAATAGAATGGTTTTTTGTTTATTTTTGGCAGTAGCGGGTACTTAGGTCTTTGCACTTGCAAGGCAGGCACCCTATCACTTGAGCCATGCCTCCAGTCAGAGGTTTTCAAATAATTGGTCAAAGAATGTAGTCAATGTGAAAAGTATGTCTAAGATTAGTCCTTTACAAGAATATCTGAAATGCTCTGGAATCTTACAACTCAAATGTGCTGGGGATAGAATCCAGAGCCTTGTGCATGCTAGACAAGCACTCTATACCCTCATCCCCAATGAAAGAAATTTGATCAAGGTTTCCCCACAATTTGATAACAAACCTAAAAATATACAAGACATTGCCTGGAACTTTTTTAAATTACCCAATTATAAAAGACAAATTTGGTTCACCATGCTAAGAAGATTGAGTTATCTTTCTAGTCTTTCTCTCTCTCTCTAAAGTGGTATTATCAAACAAAGATGGGCTGGAGATGTGACTCAAGTGATAAAGCACCCACTTTGCAATCTTGAAGCCCTGAGTTCAAACCCCAATCTTACCAAAAAAAGAAAAGGTAATCAAATAGTATTCAACCAAAAAATTAATAAATATTCAAGAGTGAGTGGCATTTAATTAATCAAATTATTACAGGAATCTTTTGTCATGTTTGTGATACCATCAGCTTTTTAAAATTTTTAATTTGATGTTATTTCTTATTATAAACAAATACTCTCTTTCACAGCTATTTTTATATTTGTAATTTGGTGGGGCTTTTTCCTCACAAAGGACATACCCTCAGTCCCCAACCCCCAGGGAATTGTCTAAGCATCAAGCTGTAGAAAATATGGCTGACTATGGGCTAGAGAGGTGGCTCAAGTGCCTGCTTTGCAAGTGTGAAGTGCTGAGTTCAGAACCCCAATCCCAGCAAAACAAAAACAAAACATGGCTGACCAAAGTGCAGAGCAGGTTCAGCTGTGTGAATCATTGGGGCAGGTTACTGGGAAGCTGAATACTGTCAGGTCCCCTGGGATGATCAGGTTCCCCAAAAAGACACAGGTTAGAAAAGTCAGAGTGACTTTTTATGGGGTCACTTTATGACACCTTTATGAAGGTGTCACTTCTTTATGGGGTCACTTCTGAGGCATTTTAAGTCACCAGTAGCACAATCAGGCCCACACCTTTCTTCACTTCTGGAAGAACCCCCACAATAAGGAAGAACCTGCCCTTTACCATCTGGGCCTGTTGCATATTTTTCTTCTGGTAAACAGAGTTTTGAGAACTAAAAACAGGCTCATGTCCTTAATTAAACACTTTGCTAGCAAAAAAAAAAGGTATTTAAACACGTGAACAAAAAAAAAATGTTAAGAAAACCAAGAGGAGTCTAGCTCCTTGAAAATTAAGAGTTCCCAGGGGTTTGTGCTAGCGTCATCTAGTGACAAAAGAGGGTAAGCTCAGCTCACCACAATCTCAAGAAATGAGAAACGTTGCTGCTTTTCTCCTCTTTTCTGGAAGTTGCGCAGAATACTATGTTTTACTCAATCCACTGTGGCTTTTGGTCATTAACCTATGTCCTCAAATCTGATAAGAAAATAGTAAAATATGAAGCCAGACAGAGATGAAAGCATAAAGTCAAAACTGGGAGGAAAAGGGTCAGGACCTATCCTAACCCCTGATGGCACTACTATAGGAGTCATGCTTCAGTCCCTTGTAAATTTACCAAATCCCTGAACTCATATAGGGGAAGGTCTCTTTAAGATGGGCTGGCCAGGTAAGGAGATGTCAACACAACTCCCCTGACCTTTGGCTAGGCCATGCTGGCTTCTAACAAACATGTTGCCTAAGCTGATGCCTTAGTTTTTCTCCTCATCAGTATTTCTGCTCCCAATCCCTGGCTCAGCCCACATCTTACCTAGCTTCTTCCACCATGTCTGTTTCAATTCTGCTCCTTTCTCCCTTCCATTTTAGTTTTCATAGCAACCTCTATAGAGTTTTCACTCAGTACCTATTTGTTGAGCATCTTTGTGCCAGGCATGATGTTAAGTAAAGGGATTGAAGACTGAAAATAATATAATGCTGCAAGTACACCCTCTAGGGTCAAGCCGCATGGGTTGGAATCCTAGTGCTACCATTTCTGTGTGATGTTGGGCAAGTCACTAACTTTTCTATGCCCCAATGATCTCATCTATATAAAAGGAATCATAATTATAGTTCTCTTCTCATGCAGTTGCTGTGAAGATTAACTGATCTATTATGCACAAAGAACGGTGTCTAGTAAACAGTAGTTAAATGAAGGCTCTTAGGGTATAGTACTTGCCTCTCAAGGAGAACAGTCTACAATTACCCTGTCCACCTGTCCTCATGGCAGGCAGGGCCATCTGAGTTTTCTGGCACCTCACCTGACCCCTAGTTTCTGGCTACTCTTTCTCGAATGAGAGTCAACTTCCTGTGTCTGATTCACTGTGACACCGGATAAGCAATTCCTCTTCTTTGGGTCTCACTTTATATATTTGTAAAGAAAGTTGAGAGCACAGTGGTACACCTCTGTAATCCCAGCTACTTGGGAGGCAGAGGCGGAAGCAAGGAAGGAAGGAAGGGAGATCAAGGGAAGAAGGGAAGAAAGAAGGTGGAAAGGGAGGGAAGGAAAAAAACCAAAACTGATTTCCAGGATCACAGCAAAACTCCTTGTTCTGGTCAAGTGTTCCAAGTTTCACACTGAGCTTGGGCAAGCCACTTAACCTCTCAGCGTTCATTTCCTCCCTGTAAGAGGTTGATGACAAGGTGGGCGCCAGTGGCTCACGCCTGTAATCTTAACTACTTGGGAGGCTGAGATTCGAAACCAGCCTGGACAATAAATCAATAATAAACAAGTAAATAAATAAATAAATGGATGGAAGGATGAATGAATGAATGGAGGTGACCCCACTGACGACCTGGTAGGCTCGCTACAGCGTTCTGGGGAAGAAGCCTTTCTCACCTTAGGCAATGTACCACCGCCACTCAGCGCACGCGCGCAGGCGCTGGGCCCGCCCCCCGCAGTACCCAGCTTCCGGTTCCTTTGGACTCAGGGGCGGGGCTAGAGCTAATGGCGGCTTCCGCTGAACTGGCTGGAGGGGGTGTTGAGGAAGCCCAAGCAGAAGTCAACCCGCGAATTCTGGAACCCGGGGCCTCCCCGTTTGGAAATTTCCCTCATTATTCCCGCTTCCACCCTCCGGAACAACGGCTCTGCCTCTTGCCCCCGGAGCTTCTTCGACGGCTCTTTCCTCCCGAGGGTCCCGAAAAAAGGCCGATCCTAGGACTCGACGTGGGGTGTAACTCCGGGGTGAGTTACGGGGGAGCGATCTGAGAAGCCGGTTTGTGGGGGGGGTGGTCAAGGGGATGGTTGCCCCCTGTCCACTGTGGTTCTGGATTGGGCTAAGCATCACGCCATCAAAATTTGTCCCAAATGGGCGTAAAGCGTAGCGTTGACCAACTCCGTACTACTCCTTGTCTACGAGGGTTTCACCGTCATCCTCTTAGGAATCTTGCGAGAGATTCCTTCTCAACTGCGTTCCCAGTTCCCGCTCTCTTGGCCCGACCCAGGTGAGGAGGGTCACCTTATTTGGGCTTCCGGCGTTGTTCTTAATCCCAAGCGTTGCTGTAGCCCTGGCTGGGGAAAAGGGGCTTCCGGAGACCCACATCTGGGAGCGTGGAGTTGGAATTGGTTTACTGGGAGAGATGAGGAAAGGGTGATAGAATCACACCTGCAATTTAAAGCTCGTGTGTGCTATACATACACAGTGCAGCACAGCCAGGTGCACATTTACTTAACAAACTGCGCTGACGGTACAATGGAGAACAGTGGAGAGGATCAAAAAGGAAAATACAACATTCCACATAAGGGAGTTAAGGATGGGGACCTTGCATATAATGATTGTGAAGTTTTTTTTCTGTTTTTGTTTGTTTTGTTTTTTTCCGGTACTGCTGCTTGAACTTAGGGCCTACACCTTGAGCCACTCCGCCAGCCTTTTTTGTGATACGTTTTTTCTAGGTAGGGTTTCGCGAAGTATTTGCCCGGCCTGATTTCGAACCATGATCTTCCTGATCTCTGCCTTCTGAGTAGCTAGGAATACAGGTGTGAGCCACCGGTGCCCAGCTGCAAAGTATTTTTAAGCAAACAATGACTATAGTCAAATCACAAACAAAATAAGGAAATGGCTCTCTCACCTATTTGTGGCCACGGGGATATTCTAGAAGAGCAGCTAATCTTATAGGATTGCAGTTGCTTCAAAAGTTAGTACCCATCCAGTGTAGGAGCTAGAGGGGTCATAGAGAATTTTACTGTGTTAGTGACCTTTAACAGAAGAGACTTGGTGGAGGGTTGGAGATCTTGAGTGATGCAGCTGATACAAGGGAGAAGTTTTGCATACAGTCTCCCAAGACTGGAATGACATCAAGATGGGTGAATGTCTCTGAGTGTCCCCTGCAACCATTTCTCCAGAAATGTTCTCTTCTTCTTTCAGAAGGGAAAGCAATGGAAAAGAGAGATTGTGCTTGGGATTTTGTGAAAGGAATTAGGAAACCACCAGAGATTTTAAAGTTGAATGTAAACACACACACACTAAAAGGAAGAATATGGTTGCAGTTAATTAAGGAAGTGGTTCCCAAATGTGGGTTGTACATTTTAAGGAGTTTATTTATTTATTAAGCGTACTGGGGATTGGACCCAGAGCCTCCACTGTGTGTGCTAGGCAAGTACTCTGCCACTTGAGTCATGCCCTCCATATTCTAGGTTTCTGAATCAATCATGGTTTACCTCAACCAATCATGGATTAACAGTATTTGAAAAAAATTATACTGAACATGTGCAGACTTTTGTCATGGTTCCCTAAACAGTACACTCAACTATTTACATAGCATTTACTTTGCAGTAAGTATTACAAGCAATGTAAAGATGATTTTTAATAGATATGCATATGTTATTTGCAAATACTACACCATTTTTTATAAGGGACTTGAGCATCCATGGATTTCCATATTATCTAGGGTCCTGGAACCAGTTCCCCATGGATAACAAGGGATGACTATATATATAAAAAAAAGTACATCTCTATTCCCAATTGTAAATCCTCCTTTCACCACAGAGGGGCACCAATATTTGTAATTTCTTGGGTATGCATCTTTGCATACCCCAGCATATATGTATGTATAAATACCGTCCATTTTAAGTTTTGCAAATTGTAATACTATTTTTCTAATTTGTATTTTCTTTTTTAAAAAATTGGGAGATTCCAGGACTGAGGAATTAAGGATGTAGGGAGGTGGTGGAAGAAGGACTGAAGTGATGAAGTGACTAGTCAAATGTGGGGCCACACCTAAGATCAGATAGAATGAGAAAATAGGGAAGAAGTATATGGAGAAGTGGAAGAAAATTAAGCAATATGGTGGGCTGGAGGTGTGGCTGAAAAGGTAGAGTGCCTGCCGAATAAGCACCGAGGCCTGAGTTCAAACCCTAGTATCACTAAAAATAAAACAGAATACAAACAAGAAAACAACGACATTCAGCAGCATGGTATGGTATCTTGCTACTCTGGCTGTGGTTTTTTTTTTTTTAGCTACAATATTGACATGACTTGTAGCTTATTAGAAGTATAGAATCTTGAGTTGGCATGGTGGTACACATCTGTAATCCCAGCACTGGGGAAAGTAAAGCAGGAGGATTGCAAGTTCATAGTAAATTCCAGGCCGGGCTACATAGTAAATTCTAGGCCAGCTTGGGCTGCATAGTGAGACTCTTGTCTCTACTCCCCACCTCAAAAAAAAAAAACCAGAATCTCAGCACGTACCTCATAACCACTGAGTCAATGTCTGTATTTTAAGGTGATCCCTAAGTGATCTATATGCCCATTAAAGTTAAGAAGCCTGTTATAGAGGAAGAACCTAATGTAGCCTAACTCTTGCATGTGCTAACATATGACACTAGCCTCTGAACCATATATATTCTTTTAATATAAGGGTTTTGTGTGTGTGTATGTGTGTGAACTATTACACATACACAGAAAAGTACATGAAGGTCTGGGGTAGAGTGCCCGCCTACCAAGTATGGGGCCCAGAGTTCAAACCCTAGTACCACCAAAAAAAAGTACATAAAACATAAGCCTGCTGGGCGCCAGTGACTCACACCTGTAATCCTAGCTACTCAAGAGGGAGAGATCAGGAGGTTCACAGTTTGAAGCCAGCCCGGGCAAATAGTTCTTGAGCCCCTATCTGTAAAAATACCCAACCAAAAAAAGGCTAGTGGAGTGGCTCAAGTGGTAGAGCACCTGCCTAGCAAGTGTGAGGCCCTGAGTTCAAATCCCAGTACCACCAAAAACTGCAAGCCTACACTTTATGAATTGTTATGAAGAAACACCTTTGTGACCACTGTCCAGATCAATAATAAAAATATTTTCAGCACTCCAAAAGTCCCTAGTATGCTATTTCCTGTTCATATGACTATCTCCTCTTGACCCAAAGGTAACAGACTTTTACTTTTCTTTATGCCTTGCTATTTTTCTATTCCTAAACATGCAGTTTAATTTTACCCATTTAGAGACTTCATATAAATGAAAGCTTGCCACATATTTTGTGGTTTTCTTTTTTTAACTCAGCAATATATATTTGTAAGAATCATACAAGTTATAGTGAGCAAGTAAGTTCCTTCATTTTTAAACTATTTAGTATTTCATCTTATGCCACATTTATTATTGGCGATCTGGGTGGTTTCCATTGTGCATTTTCTTTACCTGCACAAAAAATTGCAGTTAGTGAATAGGAAAATACCTTGAAAAAAAATGTATAAAACAATACAAATTTGAGTTATAATGATTATAGAAATCAAAGTTGTAGAAAGGAGATAGTGCCTTGTTTAAGAGTCAAAGGGTACTAAGATGGTAAAACTCATAAGTCAGTGGATTTGACTAGAAGGTGGTCAGTAGTGACTTTGGGAAGTGACAGCTACTGAAGCAGAGTAAGTCTCAGAAGGAGGTAGTGAAGTATAAGTAAAATTTAAAGCCATAGAATAAAGGCTGAATGAGAACTTTTTGGAATCCAGATTTTCCCAACCACGGGTCTGAGAAACAGGTGTTTATAAAACAATGCTTGCTTTATTCCTTACCTTCCTAGTAAGGGACACTAGTAATGCTTCTGGAGCCCTTTCTTTCTCCTTTGGGTCTGAGATACTCAGAAAAAGATTGTTTACTAGTATATTACTTAAGTTGGAAAATATTGCTCTAGGCTCCTTTGCTACATCACTGGGCTATAACTGTCAACCATTAAACTCAGTCTACATCAGTGTCAGAATATAGGGATGATGCATTACAGCCTGTGACCCCTGGAGGACACTGAGTGTCTGCTTATGAGAAACTTTGTACAACCTCCTCAGGTTATAGTTTAGGAGCCTAACATCCTGTAAAGCCAGAGGTAAGTGGCAGTCTCAGAGGATAAGAGATAGATATCTCTTCCATTCACTGATTGAGAGCTACAATGACAAAGCTCTTTTGGATTCCTCTAGGATCTGAGTGTGGCTCTATACAAACACTTCCTTTCCCTACATGATGGGGAGAATTGCTCAGATGCCTCCAGAGAACTCCGCCTCCTCTGCTGTGATATAGATCCAGTCCTGGTGGAGCGAGCTGAGAAAGAATGTCCTTTTCCAGATGCCTTGACCTTTATCACCCTGGACTTCATGAATGAAAAGACAAGAAAGATTCTCTTGAGCTCTTTCTTAAGCCAATTTGGACGTTCAGTTTTTGACATTGGCTTCTGCATGTCAATAACCATGTGGATTCATCTGAACCATGGGGACCATGGCCTGTGGGAGTTCCTGGCTCATCTTTCTTCCCTCTGCCACTACCTTCTTGTGGAACCACAGCCTTGGAAATGTTACCGGGCAGCTGCAAGGCGCTTCCGAAAGCTGGGACTCCGTAATTTTGACCACTTCCACTCCCTCACCATCCGAGGTGATATGGCCAATCAGATTGTGCAGATCTTGACCCAGGACCATGGCATGGAATTGGTATGCTGTTTTGGCAACACCAGTTGGGACCGAAGCCTTCTGCTCTTCAGGGCAAAGTATACCATAGAGGCTCATCCAATCCCTGAATCACTTATAGAAGAGAAAGAAAGAAATAGATTAAGATTCTAGAGGCAGTGAAATGGGAGGGCAAGAAGACCAGGAAAGAGATACTAAAAAAGATTTTATACTGAGAATTATGTTCCACTGTCTTGGAATAGTCAGGCAGCCTCAAAACCTGGCAGAAGCTTTTGGCAAAATGTCCAAGGCATGCAACTGAAAGGATCACTTTCTGTTCTACACTGTTTACAACAATTCCTAAGGGGAATGAATCCATACAGCAGTGATCTGGGCTATCTGGGTTGAGATTGTGATCCTGGTTGTGGGAAATGGAACAGGCTGCTTTTGGAGTTTGTTTTGTTTTGTGGTGCTGGAGATAGAACCCACAGCTTTGTGTTGGGCAGATGCTTTACCACTGAGCCACATCCCCAGACTTTGGGGGTTAGTTATAGATTAGACCAGGCTAGCCTTAGTTCTCTGGGCTGCTTAAATCTGACCTGATTTCTTCGTGTATTTTCTGGGCTTACTAGGCCTGCCTTAAGGCAAAGCCTTACAATGCAGTCTGTCATGTGGAGTCACTGGACTGGCTAAAGGAAGTGGTTGGGGAAAAAATAATCTTATCTCTCTAAAGCAAGCCAAGTCTCCAACATACCCAAGTTTAGTACAGCAGTTACAGATGCCAGAAAAGATGCATCATCTAGCATTTAAAAGATGTTTAGGGCTGGGAATATATATTGCTCAGTGATAAAGTGTTTGCCAAGGATGTATGAGGCCTATCCCTAACACTGCCAAAAAAAGAAAAAGTTTAAAAGATTTAAATTATGCACCCAGAGGTAGGGATTCAGGTCTGGAATGGGGCGTAGGATTTTTTGTTGTTGTTGCATTCTTTCATTGTGGTAAAATATACATGATATAAGTTTTACTGTGCTACCCTTTATTTTTTGGTGGTACTAGGTTTTGAACTTGGGGCCTTTCACTTGCTAGGCAAGCACTCTACCACTTGAGCCACACCCTCAACCCTTTTTTGCTTTCATTATTTTTGGAATAGGGTCTCACGTTTATGCCAAAGCTAGCCTGGAACGCAGTCCTCCTATTTATGCCTCCCACATAGATGGGATGACAGGTGAGAGCCACTGGCCTGGCCCTGTGCTAGCCATTTTTAAGTATAAATTTTGTGGTATTAATTGCCTTCACAATAAGAATTCTGTTTTTAACAGGCACCTCAGATGATTCCAGTCCAAGTAGAAATAGACAACACTTTGAATGCCTAGGGTTCCACGTAACCTACATATTTTTTTCTGGAATGAGTTCTTCCACTCTCCTTCAACAATTACTTACATGCTAAATATATTGGTAGCCCCACCCCATAGTTCCAGACTAATATTTTTGTTTTGTTATCGTAATCCCCCTCACTAGTTCTTAGGCATCTCAATTCAACATATTCCAAAAGCAAACTTATTCCCTCTTTCCAAATCTATTCTATCTCATTTGCTGGCATCCACTGAATGTTCAAGCTAGAAACCTCAGTTGACTCCTCACTTATGCTCCGCACATTGAAATAGTCACAAAGTACCTCAAATTCTACCAATAACATGTAGATCCTATTCATTCCATCCATTTGTCTGGTGCCCACAGGGCTTTCTATGGTAAGTAACCCACCTTCCAATCCATTCCTTGCTTTGCAGCCATAGTTTACTCTTAGTTTGCTCAATGTGAATACAGTGTTAAGCAAAAATAAGGTGCTGTTACTTTCTGATGACACTCTGTAAATTGCTGCAGGCTATAATTATGCTTGTTAGATCAAAGGCTTATGATCTAATAATTTGTTTTTCAGGATGAGGAAGTAATGAGCTCAGATTCAGTACTACAGACCATTTTAAAGGAAGCAGTGTCGGGAAAGAAGGATATGGAATTAATGGAAATGAGACTAATTTATTTTATTTTTTTGTGGGACTGGAGTTTAAACTTGGCTTCACACCTGCAAAGCAGGCACTTGACCACTTGAGCCATACCTCCAGTCCATTTTGCTCTGGAAATGGGGGTTTCTCAAACTGTTTGCCCAAGCTGAACTTAAACCTTGATCATCCCAAGCTCAGCCTTCCAAGTAGTTAGGACTACAGGCATGATGCCCACCTATGAGGCTAGTTTTTGATGTTCTGAGAATGATCACAGTGGTTACAGAGCTGAATTCATCCATTCTCTGACGGTCTTAAGAACACTGTAACCCTGTGACATCTGCTGGGTGTTCTCTCTTATTACCAAGGCAGTGTAAAGAAATTTATCTGGGGCTATGATAAGCTGAGTAATTGACTCCCAAGATGTCCGTATACCATTCCCTGAAACCTATGAATGTTAGGTACCAAAAGGGAAAATGCAGCTGAGCATCGCTGACCCATGCCTGTAATCCTAGCTACTCAAGAGGCAGAGATCAGGAGGCTAGCCCAGGCAAATAGTTTGAGAGACCCTATCTCAAGAAAACCCATTACAAAAAAGGGCTGGTAGTGGCTCAAAATGTAGGCTCTGCGTTCAAAACCCCAGTTCTGAAAAAAAATAAAAGAAAGTTGCAGAAATGATTAAAGATCTTGAGATGCGGAGATTACCTGAATGATCAGAATGGGCCCTAAACCCATTAGAAGTATCCTTGTAAGAGGATGACAGAGGCAGATTTTGACCATAGTAGGGGATGTAGTGACAGAAGCCAGAGGTTGGGTAATACGAGGAAAGGCTGCAAGCCAAGGAATGTAGGCATTTTCCAGAAGTTAAAAAGCAAAGAAATACATTCTTCCCTGGATCATCCAGAAGGAACATAACCCTGCCAACACCTTCACTTCAGATTTCTGGACCCCAAGACTATAAGAATAAACGTTGTTTAAAATAGTTTGTGGTGATTATAGCAGGAAAAGAAAACTAATACAAGGGCTTTGGCTACAATGAGACTGGCTTATAAGGCCAAACGGCACCTGTCCCAGACAACCTGATGGCAAAAAATGGCCCTAGTGACCAAAGGGATATGTAGGGGCCCTATCTACAAAGTTAATTGAGAAAAGTTCAACCACAAAGAACTTTGGGAGATGCTTCAGCATTTGAATCTGAACTATTTCCTAGTAATATTCTGTTGGCTGAGCAGTTACCTGACCTATTGGGAGGCACCATTGTATTTCAAGTCTGTGGCAGTTATTTTGGAGGAAAATATTAGTAATATTAGTAATTAATGTTCATAAAGATGAGGCCCTGGTATCAAGAAGATAATAATTGCATTATGTTGTAAGCTCTTAAAGACATATTATCTTTGATTGCAAGAAAAAATCATCTTGTTCTAAAACCAGTGTGTGTGTGTGTGTGTGTGTGTGTGTGTGTGTGTGTGTGTGTGACTATACACGTGGAAGGTAACAGAACTATAAAAAGCAAAAAAAAAAAAATCAAAGCATAGCAGTATATTTAGTCATATCAAAGAATCAACCAAAAGATAAAATGGCTCTTTGCTGGGGCTGGGAAATGCAGCAGTCATTGTTTCTATGTTGATTTTCTTAACCATATGCACATATTTTTAAAAACTAATTTAAAATAATTTTTAATCAATGTCTTTCTAAAGTAACTTATCCCCCAGTACCCCACCTATCTATCTGCCTATTTTTTCCCCTCACAGCATAGTCAAAATTCTTGGAAGAGTTTTAAATACCTCCTGTCTTTATTCCTTACTATATCAAAATCTGGTTTTGAGCCAGGCATTGGTGGCTCACATCTGTAAACCCAGTTACTAAGGAGGCAGAGATCAGGAGGATTGCAGTTCAAAACCAGCCCCAGGCAAATAGATCGAGAGACCCTATCTTGAAAAAACCCATCACAAGAAGACTGGCAGAGTGACTCAAGTGTTAAGAGTGCCTGCCTAGTATGCATGAGGCCCTGAGTTCAAATGCCAGTGCCACAAAAAAAAAAAAAAATCTGGTTTTGCCAGTCTGCAATGATGTGTGGTGAAAGTTCACTAGGCTGTCTCTGTCCTGATCCAACTTGATCTCAGCAACATTGGGAACTATTTGGTCTTTTTTTAAAGAAATCTCATTCTTTGACTTTGGTGACAGCATTCATCTAGTTTTCTTTCTCCCCTAGAGATCCTTCTCTAATGTTGGTGTTCCTTGAGGTTCTATTCCAGCCCCTCTTCTCTCCACTCCATGGCTCCAGTTACCCCTACTGTTTTTAATGACTTATGAATTTTTTCAGTCTTGATTCCTCTCCTAAGCCTCAAAATTTACCTAGTAGCATATATGATTGCTTCCTTTTCCACATCATGGCACACACAGAAAACGATGGGGCTTTCTATGCTGGATGATGCAATCCAGCATAGTCAAGATTATCTCAGGGAGCTGATGCTGTCCTAAGAATTGACAAGATCAATGTACACAGCACATTGTAACCTCATCCTGAGGCACAATAATTGGGAAGCTCTGATCTCTTAGGTAGATATTTCTACTTGGATGTCCTCCATGCATTTCAATGTCAACCTGTTTGGAAGTGAACATATTATCTCCCAAACCACCTCTTCCTCCAGTGTTTTGGATTTCAGTGAGGGGGCCTACCATTGGCAAAGTATCCATCCAAAGGTATTGGCCTATCTCTCTGCTTCTCACTACTTCCACAAGGTCTATTGATTCTGCTACTATTTATTGCTTAAAGTCATCTGTCCATAATCTCTGTCACTTTACTGTTCCAAATCACATCATTTATCATTTTTCTCCTTGATTTACTATAAAAAAAACTTTCTATCTGGTGCACCTGACTTCAAATCTTGCTCTCTATTCTCCACACTGTAACCACAGTGTTCTTTTCAAAATGCAAACCTGGTTATACCAACACACCACCACCGCCCTGCTTAAAACTATTTGAAGACTGCATTGCTCTTTCAATAAAATATGATCTTTACATTGCTTACCTTTCCAGTTTCATTCCATATCCTACCTCATGTAAAATCCATACTGCTTATCTAAATACTACATGCACAGTGCCTGGCATAGAATAAAGGATCAATTAAAAAAGCTCTGAATCATGAAAGCTGAGGAAAAGAGTTCCAGGATCTGAGTAAGTCCATATATCTGTGCCAGGTAAGAGGCTGCAAAGCATGTATTGGCAATATTATCAGAATCCAAGGAACATGATTGTCTTGTGTAGAATTAAGCAGTAGTAGCAAAGATCTATTGTTGAGAAAATGAACCAAACATTAACCAGCTCCTTCCTCTTAACCGAACAAGGAAGACATCATAATTGTGCTCGGGAGTCAGTCTAACCTGGAGAAGAACCAAGTTAGAATGTTTTGAAAGACCAGTTACCAACCTGACCAGCTCCTTATGTCAGGAGTTGTAAACTTGGGTCAGTTTATCAACCGGTATAACAGTGGCTAAATGCTTATACTGTTGACCTCTGAGGAGTGGAGATGCCCCAATACTGAATAAATAACCACATAGTATTGAAGCAGAGAACCCCATTCAAAGTATTCAGATGAACAGTGAGGGGCTGGTTCTCAGAGATCATCTCCCAATCATCAGCTCTATATACATAGACTACACCACCAAACTGGTTTGTTACAACAGCTTATAGCTCCAGACACATAAGAGGCTTAGTTTGTTTTCTAAAGAACAATATATGGTTATTGGTACATGACAAGGGTGGAAAACCTACTTTGGGACTTCTAATTTTTAATGATTTTAGTGAATTAATAGCACTGAGAAAGTGTCTTCAGCCTCAACAAAGACAGGCACTGATCATGGAGCAAAACACCTACACTTCTTTCATCTCTTGTCACTGAGGATGAGAGTTTGAAGCATAAAGAATCTGCCAAAATCTGAATGCTGAATATCAAGTGTGCAAGAGCCTTTGAATAAGGAGGGCAGGGACTTGCTCTGACAAGTGCAGATGTTCTGGCTGTGTTTATTAAACAAGAGTAAACATCTGAATGAAAAGTAAAAAATCATCTAGATGTTCCATTTGCTTCCAAAAATCAGTTATTTGCAAACATCTAAAAATAGGAATGCCTGGCCTGCTTTTAAGATTTTCTACCCAGAAGTTTAGGAATGCAACAGACATGTAGTTATATTGGACTTCTAAGTCCTTTGAGGAAAGGATTGTTGAATTTTGTTATAATCCCAGGACTAGCCTATTGATCCCGACACAATAAATGTTGGATGATTGAATAAGAATGCTGTAAGTTTCCAAAGATGTCATTATCAAGACATAAGGTGAGCCAGGTATCAAGGCTCACACCTGTAACCCTAGCTACTTGGGAGGCAGAGATCAGGAGGATCGAGGTTTGAGGCCAGCCCTGGTAAGAAGTTTGGGAGAACCCATCTCAACCAATAAAAGTTTGGCATGATGGTAGTGTATCAGTCACCCCACCTACACTAGAAGCATGAGTAGGATGATCGCAGTCCCAGGGCATAAACATGAGGCCCTATTTGAAAAGGAGCCGGGCACCAGTGGTTCACACCTATAATCCTAGCTACTCAGGAGGCAGAGATCAGGATTGAGATTTGAAGCCAGCCTGAGCAAATAGTTCGCGAAAACACCCAACACAAAAAAAGGCTGGCAGAATGGCTCAAGTAGTAAAACACCTGCCTAGTAAAAGTGAGGCCCTGCATTCAAGCCCCAGTACCACCAAAAAAAAAGGGGGTGGGGGAGGAGAAGGAAGGTGAAAAAAGAAGGGTTGGAATGTGGCTCTGTGATAGAGCATTTGCTTGTCCTGCACAATGTTTTCTGGGTTCGATCCTCTGCACCACAAAGGAGAGAAAAACCCCATAACATTGCAGGATGTGGTGGCATATATGCCTCTAATCCCAGCACTTGGAAGGCTGAGGCAGGAGGATCCTGAAACAGAAAAAAAAAAAAAAAAAAACCATCCAAATGACTCTTCACATGGATCATCCCTATCTTCGTTCTGATCTCCTCCATACAAAACCTCCTGCATTAACTTTTCACCCTACCAAGGTGATCTGCTTAGGGTCCCCTGCACATAATGTGGTCTTTCCTGAGTTTCCTGTCTTTATCTTGCCTGGTTCCTATTTAGTTCTCTCTGCCTTCAACTTTTTTTGGGGGGAGGGTGGGTGGTATTGGGATTTGAACTAAGGGCCTCATGCTTGCTAGGCAGACACTACCACCTGAGGCACTCCACCAGTCCTTTTTTGTATTGAGTATTGTCGAGATAGGATCTCAGGAAATATTTGCCCAGGCTGGCTTTTAACTATGATCCTCCTGATCTCTGCATCCTGAGTAGCGAGGATTACAGGCCTGAGATACTGGAGCCTGGCTTTCCAATCGAATTTTAAATAAAGAACCTCTTAATTAATGTTAGGCAACCTAAGCACCCTATATATTCCCTTGGTTTTTATGTTCCTTTATTGGACTAATATGATGGTTGAAGTTACATCCTGCATATACCTACAACAGAAGCATTTTGAAATTTTTATCTTTTTTTATTTTTTTGGTGGTGCTGGAGTTTGAATTTAGGGCTTCATGCAGGCATTCTACCACTTGAACCACACCTCCAGTCCATTTTTCTCTGGTTATTTTGGAGATGGAGTCTCGTGGACTACTTGCCCAGGCTGACCTCCAACCGTGATCCTCTTGATCTCAGCCTCCCAAGTAGCTAGGATTACAGGTGGGTCCACCAGCGCCCGACCCAGAAGGAATTTTAATAAGATAGGCAGATACTGTGTCTGAGGAGCCTGTATATCTGGGTCAGTCGGGTTAGAAGAACTAAGTATCCAGACAAGGGCAAATAGATGTGTAAGGACTGATGAAAATGGTATGAAGGGAGCTCTGACTTTATGTAGGGGCCTGGGCAGTCTGTTTAGTTTGCTCCCTCTACGCAGGTGTTTCTGAGATAGCAAGTGGCCAAAACAGGGCTGTCTCCTTTTCCTGCATTGCCTTCGCTCCTTTTAAGACAGCGAGGAAATGGCCAGCATTGCTCTCCCACAGTGGAGCCTGTTCCTAACACCAGGTTACTGGGAAGACCCGATCCTGGGGTAGAAAAAGGGAGGCGGGAGCACTTAAGGCCATGAAAGCACTCAAGCCTCTTCCCAGGGATTCACACCCAACACGTATGCAGAAAGGCAAATTACAAACACGAACGCTAACAACCACATACACACGTGCACGCCCATCCCCACAGAAGCAGACGCGCATGCTCGTGGGCCCGCGCGTACCTGCTTAGTTTTCTCTGTTCTAGAAGCCCCCATTCCACCCTTGCCGGGCCCATCTGGGCGTCCCCAACCCAGGCACCGGAGAGGTTTACTAGGCCGAGCCTGGCCTGCGGAGAGTGTTTCTCCATAGGGGGAGGGGAAGCTCTTCCCACCCGGGCGGAAGCGGCGCGCGCC